GGCACATCATGTTCTCTTTAGTTGGAAGAGTCCATTTTGATTGTGATATGAATGTAAATGGAACAAGGGCAGGTAAAAGGAAGAAAAAAATATTGTTGACTTGATCTGTCACTGAGCTTCAACCTATGGCTGTGGATTTTCTTACACAAGGAGTTCTTTATACCTACCGATTTTCCAAGAAGAAGATAACAAATGTGAAAAACAGATCCACTTGCCAGGAATCTTTAGGAGATGGGAATTGGGATGAAGATCTTAGTTATCTTTTTAGTCTGATATGTATAAATGCATGTGCATTAGTAATGCAGCATTAAGAAAGTCAGTGGATGACTCGAAAATAAGACCTGGTGCCTTTTTATGGCAAAAAAAATAAATAAGACAGAGCCTTTTTTTCAGGAAAACATGGTATACTCAAACGTATTTTGTTGAAGTTCTATTATATTAGATTTTTTAAATTCTCCCTGTAAATGGAAAACTACTATAGCATAAAAGAAGCCAGAGAAGATCCTTCTTTGGGTTGTCTTCCCATCCCTTGGGGGAAAAAAAACATTACTTGTTGAATAAAGCAGTGAAGTCTACTCTCTCTTCATCTAGATTCTACCATACTGTTCTGCTGCATAAGTAGACTAGGCCATATAACACAAGACAAAAACATAGTTTATTACAGACAAACTTTGAAGTTTGTAAAGTGGGTGAATAAAAGCTAAACGTTCTAATTTTAAACACTCTTATCCAGAATTTGCATTACTGGAAAGGGAAAGATAATGTTAACTTGTGCATCCATTTTAATTTTGTAATTGAGACATGTCTGGAAGACTGGGTAAATTAGTGGAGGGACATAGTGGAAGACAAGATTTGAGATTTTAGTGTGGCATAAAAAAACAGGTTTTTATGTACAACTCAAAACATTAAATAATTTCTCCAAGGATTTGCTATGAAATATTGCCTGACTTAACCCCAGCAATGTTAATAATTCAGCCAATAATGAAATTGTATTTGTATTCCCCTCAGGCTCCTTTCTATTTTATGCATTAAAATTCCTTTATTGCTTCAAAATAAAAGCCCCTTAGAGATTAGAAATTGTGGCCTATTTTGTTGTTGTTTGCTTTTCATTTTGCTTTCTGAGAATTTCAGTTTAGAAAATTGATTTACAGGAGACTAAAGGAGGGGGCAGTAGGGGGGGAACCCTGATGACTTTTTAAAATATTTGTAGCAGTAATAACAGTAATAATTCTCCATTTATAATCAAACAATCTGAGGACAGGGAAGAAGAAAAGAGTATGGTAGTTTTTAAAAAATGGTAAGCAAGCAGTGAATATAATAGAGGAGAATATAAACAACAGTTGTTTTGGGACTCTACTTGGAAAACATATAGTGATAGAATGATATTTATCTGGAATAATTCAAATTCCAAATAAATTTCTATCCACTGTTGATGATAGGTTGCATGTTCAGCCTGTAAAACAGAATTTTGTCTTGCCACCGCAGGAATAGAAAATGTAAATAAGCAAAACCATGATCCATTTATAATAAAAGTTAATGTATAAAGGAGTCAATTGCTCTGTATTAGCGTTTTCCCAAAAAATCTTCTAATCTTTTGTCCTCAAAAGCTGGTCTGACCAAAATTTTTAATTACCTCAAAGTGTCTGGCATTCTGTCACATCATTGCCTGAATTCTGCTTGTCTTGCAGTAGGCAACACTTTACAAAAGATACAAGGAAAAAATCCTCTGTTAGGAACTAAAACAGATTTCAAATCCACTCTTATGAATAAGATCACTAGGGAAGAATGGACACTATTTCTAATGTACTTTTCATTATGAAATTGTTTTTATCACTTCTTGAATACCTGAGGCATGTTGGATAGCTCCAAGAGAGAAAATATTGTTCTCGCTTACTTGTCCACTGCCATAAAGACAGCAGTATATTGATTGTGTGCTGGGGAATGGTTGTTTATTAGAAATAGATTTGTAATGTAACACATGGACAGTTTGCTCATGGGAAAGCAGTACTGTAGGAGTTTAGTCAGACGGTGTAACTGAGTGAGTGAAGTTGAGACAAGGCCTTTCCCATCATTGCTGCCTCCAGACAGGTTGGATTAGCAATTGTTTATGGGAATTGAGATTCAGAACATCTGGAAGGAATTAGATGGGGAAATATGAATAAAGAATAGAGTTGCTGGTTGTGGACAGTGTATACATTTAACAACAGGAAAAAAATAGAATACAGACTTAATTGATTGAGAGTTATTATGTAAGATGTTGCTTAATACAATAAGTGAACCAGATCTCTCACTCTTTCAAAAAGCATGTAAATCAGAGAACGCTCTGACTTTCCTCTGGTTGGAGAAAAAAGATTTTAGTGATGAAGATCTCACTCAGGAAAAGAACGTCTTTTTTTATGTGTGACAAACTGGCAGTCTTGTAATGGAACTAGCTCCATGGAGAATTCTACCCAATGTTCATTATTATTATGTTTGTTACTATAACATTAAAAGCTACATTATTCGAACATACCTTTTGATTGGTTTTAAAGATGGATTCTTCTGAAGGTGGCAAACACTGCTTCAATCTCAATTACTAATGCTGTAATCTGGATAAAATGCATCATTGGGATGGGAGAGAGGGTGAAAGGGACAGACAGAAAGAGAGATACAATGAGAAAAAGCAGACAATAATTAAGTAAATAAAATTGTGCACCTTACTTTCTGTAAAGCAATCCCCTCTCCAGAGCATCCTCTTTTTCAAAAATTTAAAAATTTAAAAAATTTAAAAGAGGGCAATCCTACTTTAACATGCCTCTAGAATAATAGAGATGATGATAGATAGATAGATAGATAGATAGATAGATAGATAGATAGATAGAT